TTATTTGATCCTTTTTATTTTTTATTTTTTATTTTTTATTTATTTTTCAGTTCATTTGGCTGTGTGACTGCTTCTTCGTGTGTGGCGTCGGCCGGTTTCCTGTCCCTCTCTTGTGCTGGAGATACTGGGGCGTGCGTGTAGGGCTTGGCTTGAGGGTGTGGTTCGGTTGTTTTCACGACAGTGACAGAGCGCACCGCCGCCATGTCTGAATCATACGGTGCGTTGGTGCAAACGAAAACAAAAGAGTGGGATGAAACGGCAGCGCGCTCCCTGTCGCGTGTGATACAGCACACGATCAGGAGCGTTGGCCGACGTGGGATCAAATAAAAGGGTGTTTGGCGTGCATTCAGTTATCGACCAGAGCCTGAACCGGATGCTTTGGCGTTGAACATCTTACCGTGTCATTGCCACGCCATCCCCGACCCAAGCATCAGCCGCGAGACCTTGACTGAAGTTTGCTTCGTTCATGTCGACCGGCTCACCATCCTTCACGCGCGCCGTGCTTGTGATCACATTCCCGCTCGTAAAACGGCCATGGCCGCTTCGCAGACTTTTTGTTCAAGTTCCTCGTGATTGGCAACGCCTCCACCGGCAAATCCTGCCTGCTGCACCAGTTTATCGAGAGCAAATGTACGCGATCGCGCACCGTGCCATCTGCCAGGGCTGACGACCTGGGCCCAGTAGCCCTGAGGCTGCCCAGTGGCTGCATGGGGTTTGGTCCCTTGGCGCATCAACTTCTCACCATGCACATCAATGTGGGGCGTTTCTCTCTCTCTCTCTCTCTCTCTCTCTCTCTCTCTCTCTCTCTCTCTCTCTCTTTTTTTTTTTTTTTTTTTCCTGCGCCGGGCGTGCTGCCTTCTCGTGCCACACTCTAGTCAAATCCGAATCCTCGCACACAATCGGCGTGGAATTTGGTTCCAAGGTCGTCAACTGTGGTGGCAAGACTGTCAAGCTCCAAATCTGGGACACGGCTGGTCAAGAGCGCTTCCGGTTGGCTTCCCGCTCCTTGTGCCACAGGCTCTGTACGCGTCACCATCATGCTCATCTTTCTGAGAACAGCCTCATGCAAACGTATGCTCGTGCCATGCGCTTCCAGCTCGGTAACGCGCAGCTACTACCGCGGTGCCGCCGGTGCACTTCTGGTCTACGACATTGCCAAGTACGGCTTTCCTTCTTGTTCTTCTAGTTTTTCCAACAACCTGCCTCTGGTTCCTCGTGCTACGTTTTACGCTCCAAACACCGTCCTCTCCTGACCCCTCCCTTTGCTGGTGGTTCGCACCATCCTGTTGCCGCACACTAGCCGCGAAAGCTACAATGCGCTGACCAACTGGCTGACAGATGCCCGCACCATGGCCTCACCTGATATTGTCATCGTGCTTGTCGGCAACAAGAAGGACCTTGAGGTGTGAAGCATGGCAACTGCAACTCGTTGTTTCTCTTTGCTCGGCGCTCTTGGATGTTTCGCCAAGACCGTCGCCGGTGTCATTGCCACTCAATACTCCTCTCACTGGCCTTGCTCATTCCTGGGGATAGGCGGACCGTGAGGTGACCTTCCTCGAGGCCTCTCGCTTTGCCCAGGAGAACGGTGCGGTCCACAAGCCCTTGTAATAGCTTTTTGAATCCCAATCGTGCGCCCTGCTCACAGCGCTGCTTGGGTACTCAATTGTGTGCAGAGCTCATGTTTCTGGAGACGAGCGCTCGCACCGGCGAAAACGTCGAAGAGGTCTTCCTCAAGTGTGCACGTACCATCCTTTCCAAGATTGAGGCCGGTATGCTGTCGTGGCCACTCCGCCCACCCTGCTTTCGAGACACCCCTTTGCGAGACGCACCTGCTGCCATGTCGTCCTATGCCATCTCCTGTTGCTTCTTACATTATTGTGTACCCGCTGGGTTGCAGGCCAATTGGATCCCGAGCGAATGGGCTCAGGCATCCAATACGGTGACTCTTCACTTCGGAAGCTGAAGCAGCCGGCCGAGGATAAGGGCGGCTGCAGCTGCTAAAGGAGTTAGGCCTGAATCGGTGCCTTGTACCGCCCCCTTGTTCTCTTTATCGTCGTGTTTTCCGGCTGGCTTTCTTGTCCCTTGTTACGTATTTCGTCAGTTTTGTCCCTTTCTATCCTCCTTTCCCACTTGTTGCTCCTCTACGCCCTCTGCTTCTTATTCTTCGCCTCATCAGACCGTGGGCTGCCGTGCCACGCTCTTTGTGTGGACATGCCGCCAATGCGCCAGCCCATATTGAGCACTGTTCGCCGCGCAGTCGTGTCTCGGTCTCTTGCCGCCACTTTTTGTTACACAACCGCGATTGTGATCATTGGTAGTTGTCTCTCTCGTCGTCACGACGAGTCAATTTGAACATTTTGTGATCTTTCACCACCGCATTGGGTTGTGGACAGTGCATCTGGCTCTGATGCCAACCGCCTTGTCTCATCTACCAGGGTCAAGGGGTCAAAGAGGCAGCAAGAAGTGGCAGAGGTTTTATTCATATTCATTTTTATTTGCTTTTTCTGACAGCTGTAACGCCATTGGTACCCACAGACAAGAGCAAAAAAAGGGCATAAACAAGGATGTGCGGCAGAGGAAGAAGGGTGCATAAAAAAGGTACGCAGGCTGGCGGTCGACTCGGGGATCGCACTATCTGGGCGCTTGCAAAAGGTGCGCGGCAAGGTCCCGGGGGGGGGGTTGGCAAAACAAAAAAAAAAGGAGGTTGACAGATCTCTATGCTTGTTGGCTCACGTTCGTTGGGGCACCAAAGATGTGCCCCACGACTGTCCATAAATGCCTGCGGGCACATGAGCAGTCCAGCTTGAGTGCACACCAAAGGTTCACTCCGCTACATCGCAACGGGGTGATTGCATGGATCGAGGGACGAAAGACTCACTCGAAAAAGGTGATCCAGGCGGGGAAGTATAGTTGAAAGGTGTAGACAAACATGAAAAGGACCACCAGGAGTACTGTGTGGAAGAGCATCCGCTCCCAAGGCTCGAGCATGTACAGGCCTGAAGTCGTGTTATACCACAAAACCCAGTTGTTCAAGCGCTGGCCGATGGAAGGTGCCCGGCGCGCCGGCACTCCAGAGGTCTTTGGTGTCGCCATGCTGCTCAAAGTTGATGCCGCGAGAGCTGCGTTCAATCATCATCCCAACATCCAATGATGATCAGTCCCAAACAACCAACAGCACAACGAGGCCACCGGGCTCGAGGCAGAGGGAAAGCGAGTACGAACCTTTGTACCTTGTGCGTGTGTACTACTTACACACTCTTGCTCGTCACAGGGACACACAAGAAGAAGCACAGCTATATCGATGTTCGAGCAACCGTGCACGCCAACCAGGGAGGGGTGGGTAGCAGACTAGGTGAGACCAAGGAGGAAGAAATGCAAGTATCACACACACACACGCACACGCACACACACACACACACGCACACACGCACACACACGCACACACACACAACTAGATGGGACCGAGTGTCGCGTTGGCAGCCTCAAAACTGAATTGGCGCAAGAGATGTACGACCATGTGGGTTGAACAAGGGGGGAGAGCCTGCTCCTTAACCATGTCACCGCGCTGACAGCGCCCAAAGGTCTGCTCCCGGTATCGCAATGTTGTCCCTGGCCAACTGACAAGCCAACAACCAGCCCCCTTCTTTCACCTGTCTGACTGCCGTTTTGGACTCGCGCTCACCTTGAGATGATGACGTTGAAAGTGAGAAAAGCGTTGTTCGAATGATTTTTCTTACATTTTTTTCTTTTGATGTGTGTGTTGCTCAATTTTGAGTTTTTCGTTACGAGCCGTTTGAGCGGTACGTGCGGTATTTGATTTGGGCAGAGAGAGTGGCGTGCTTTCTTTGACAGGGCATCGCGTTGAACTTGGCCAGGCTATCTAAGCCTAATTGGTCTGCCATTCGACAATGTCAACTTTGCCATCGACGAGGCCGGCGAAGACGGTGGGTCCGAGGGAGCAGAAATCAATGTATGGGCGGCGCGAGCGCTCTCGCTTGAGTTCGTGCAGCTTGCGCCGTGCGCCCACGTCCCAAATGAGGGCCTGGCAATGAGAAAAATCCGAGGTCATGGGATGAGAAAGCCAGGTGCCAATAACCAGGACCGCCGTGCTACAAACGCCAATGGGTGCGCAGACAGACCGAAATGTTGGCCTCATTGGAGGCCATGTAGGCTGATTGGCCCGCCTCACCACCAGGCAGGTCAAAAAGCAAACTGCGGGCCAAGAGCTTTTGCTGGGGACCACCTATGGACAGTCGACATGAGCAGTATACCGGTGCATTCTCGGACGTTCTCCTTGCCAGGCACTTGCACTGGGCATGGGGGCCGCGGGCAAAGACATGTACCTAGCAAGGTGGCAGAGGTGACACAGCGGGGCTCTTCATCGGGACCCACGCCCAGGCGGAAGACTCTGTGTTGTGTCACAGCAGCTGCCGAGGGCGATGGGCGGTAGGCTACAGCAAACTCTTCACCCGAAGGGTGCGGGGCCAACCAAGTGGCATGCCCCTCCAATTCGTCAAAGTTGGCAAACGTGCAGCTGTCCTCCACCGTCAGCGACTCGTCGCTGTACCAGAGACCGACACCTGCAAAGCACAAAAGCCACACCAAGCACTCAAACGAGTAAGGTAGGGTAAAGGAGGAGACGGCCAGAGGATGGGCAGGGCGCGATCAAACCCACGCTTGAGAGAGGCGCCCAGCAAGCCTCGGAGTGGGCGTGAGGTGCCCGTGTGCAAGTTGACGTGATGCAACGCCACCCAGGGACAACGCTCCTCTGTGCGCAAACGGGCCACTGCGTGTTCTTGATTACGAATGTCCCACACTTCCACCCTGCAGTCTCAAGCCAAGCGGGCCAAGCGAGGAAGGGGGGGGAGGAATGAATTCATAGAGCAAACAACAAGGCAAGGATTGGGCAACGAGCTTGTTGGTGTGCTCCCAAAGAACTCACGTGTTGTTGGCAAGACCCGCATACACATGATTGGGGTGAACAGAATCAAAACAGCAAGTCCAGGCTGCGTGCTCCAATTTGAACGTGCCCAAGACACTGGCGGAGGCAATGCGTCATGAAAAGTGAGGATGTCCTGGACCGGCGCCAGCCATCGACACCAGATGAAATCGTCCTGACCTGTGGTTATGTAAAGAAGACAACTTCATTGCCCCGTCCATGCCGCCTATCAAGGGCACATGGGGTTCCAATCACCGAGACAACGATGGTCAGCACCCGCCACCCGGCCCTGGTGCACATTGTGACGTCTCTGACCACGTCAACTTACAAGTCAAAACGAGGCCGTCCCCGGATGGCGAGACACGTGCATCGCGAATTGTCGCATGGTGCAATTGCAGGTACTACGGCCGAACCGCCACAATATTGCGGACAAGACACAGCCCACGGTAGAGGCGCACCCCACAGCAGCAGCGAAGAGTGAGAAGAGCTGCGGCAAGGCGGTTGCCAAGTCCTGTTCTTTCGAGAACTTTACCTCTGGAGGTCGCGTGCCATCTGGATCCAAGAGCTGGAGTCCGTGCGAGCCTGCAGGGAAGAATGGCGAGGTGCTTTTGTTGATCGCCGTCACGAGCAGGCGCTGACTCGCTGGGTCCCAGGCGCAACACCGATTTTGATCCAGAGAAAGGTTAATTCGCTGTCGTACAGCCAAGCGCCCGGCTGGTGAAGCTTTGGGTGCCTTGGCCAAAACGACTTGGCTCGCATCAGAGCTTGCTGCAGCAACTGTGTCACGACCCGCAGCGGCTTGCTGATTGACGTGGGAAGCCACACTCCGCCTCAAATCAGCACGAGCGCGCTCAGCGGCGCGCCGTTCAGCTTCCGCTCGATTATTTGCGATGCGTAACTGCGAGACCACCACAGAGGACCCAGGAAAGGCAGGCAGATGGTTGGTTGATGAGCAATGGCTTCAGAGTCGAAGGGCATCCAGTTTTCAACAGGTCAAGGCCAAGAATTGCACCTTGCTTTCCAGTTGACTGGCTCGCTGTTCCGCCGCGTCACGCTCGCTTGTCGCCTGCCACGCAGAGTTGGCTACAAATGAGGACTGCTTCTGGCCGCTTTGTTGGCAGGGTCGAGCACGCTGTCCGGTGATCAAAAAGCTAGAACCTCACCTGAGCCAGGCGTTGCTCCAAGAATTCGTAAGCCGTCATGTCGGCACAGCGTACTCGCTACGGCACGCGTTTAGGATGGCAAAAGCATATGCGAGGATCAGAACCACCACGCCAACAACGCCCGTTCCCACCGCAATAAGGATGCAGTCTGTGAAGACGGATAAACGACGCACAACGCCAACAAGCCAACATAGTCGGAGCGGCCTACCTTGGCAAAAAGAGGGCGTAGGTGTACAGGCAAGGCGGTCTCCTGGCACATGGGGCAACGCTTGGTGTTGGACAAGTGTCGCTCGATGCACTCTCGTCCAAAAAGATGACCGCACTTGAGCGCCACCAGCCTACAAGCCCATCCATGGCAGTCGAATCCTAGTTAGATTGGCAAGCAGCTGACACCCGGGCTTTGCTGATGGTGGTGGTGGTGCCTCTCACTACGATGCCACTTGCCGGTGATCCCCACTCGAGGTCCAAGCCTCGAAGCAAATTGGACAGGTGAGGCTTTCGTCCTCCTCGTCTGCTTCCTCCGGCTTGTTCTTGTCACGCGCGTTCTGCGATGTCAGAGGCTGCGCCACGGGTCGGACATGTGTGGTCACCGAGACCTGGGTGTGTGTAGGTGCTGAAGCCTGGCTGTTTGATGCGTCCGGACCGCTTTTGGAAGACTGCTGTTGCGCCACAGTAGGGGCTACGTTACTATCGTCAGGCAAATCGGGCTTGACGCGCTTGGCGGCTTGCGGCGACGAGCGCGCGGCGGCGGCATGGCTGGGGGTACTTGCTGCTGTCGCAGCCGTTGCGGTTGCGGCCGCGGTCATGGGCTCCACTTCTTCGCCATCCTCGACCACGATAACGGGTTCCTTTGTATTCGATCCTCGGTTGGTGAGCACCACTGGGTACACCGGGTCTAGCTCCTCGTCTGAACTCGCCTGCGCGCACGTAGCTTCGCATTAGCACGAAACAGGCACTCGCTACTACAAAGCCAAGTCCAGCGGCAACTCACCATGAGGGCTGGTCCCCGGCACTGTCCAAATCCCTTCTGTCACGCCTTCAAAGCGCTTGACCCTCGCACATTTCGCCGTCCAAGACACACCCTCCTCTCCCGCCGCCGCCGCCTCCTCCTTGGTTCCCTCTCAAAAGCAGAAGAAGAAAGAGAAAAACGGCTTTTGACCGTTGTGTGTGTGTGTGTGTGTGTGTGTGTGTGTGTGTGTGTGTGTGTGGTGTGTGTGTGTGTGATATAATATCTTTTTGTGCTTGCAACATTGAAAGGAGTGTGTGTGTAACGGTAAAATGTCAGAAATTTGAGGTTCACGCAGGGCTGGCCTGCTGCTGTGACCCAAGGCTGGCTGCTGTGAGGGCAAGGCGTTGGCGGTGGTCCTGGTTGGCAGGGTTGAGCTGGCCTCCGAGACGGGCCCGCAGTAAATACTCGGCCAGCACCTCGGCGATTTCGGCCTCGGTCAAGTCTCCAACCCGGCCCTACAGCGGTCCGCCCACGTGCATGAAAGGTTGTCGGTTTGAGGCTTGAAGTCGAGCAGGCCGTCATGCCCGGGCAAGGACGAAGTCGTCACTTGGGTTGCTCACGCGGGCCGCTTCTTACTCAGACACGTCACGTACCGTCACAGCAGTGCGAGCGTGGAGAGCCTGCTGCAGGCTCAAGGCTGCCGCTACCGAAACGTTAAAGCTATCCACTAGACCATACATGGGAATAGTAAAAGTCACGTCGCAGGCGGCTGTCGCTGCAGGCGAGAGGCCGGCGTGTTCGTTGCCCAGCATCAGGGCCAGGGGTCGCTGCTGTACGAGATTCAGCATGTCGGCCAGCGGCACGCTTCCAGGCACCAACGTAGCCCCCGCCACCACGAAGCCCTGCTCGCGAAGCGCAGTTGCACATGTCGAGGCATCTGGCCATTCTATCAGATCCACCCTACATAACAAAGCATAACAAGGGAACCACTCTCTCGTTACATTGACCGGGAGCACGTTTGAGAGGACAAAGACAGATTCGAAGCTTCTAGTCACGGTATAAGCACCGGCCGATATAGACTGGCAGGTACTGCAAAATATGAACAGGGAGGGCGATAGTGTCGTACCACTTGTTGGCGCTCGAGCTCACCGTGCGCAGCAGCTTGGAGCTCGCCTTGGAGGAGGAGCAAGCTGCCGTGTGCATGGCCAACAAGCCAAACGCATCCCCGCTGCGCTGCACGGCCGCCACATTGCCTGGGTCATAGATGTTCTGACATTGAGCACGAAAAAAGGGCTTGTCAGCGTGCATGTTGCCGTGGCCAAGCTGATGTTGCTGCGCTCATCGCCGCTTATGCCCACCCTTGCCTCAAAAATGCAGTTTCACGACGCAACCTGCTCTGGGCCGAACAGGACGAGCCCACCTCGAGAATACAGGTCAGGTGACGTGAGCGATATCGCGCTGCTCGCTCCAGGCGGGCCAGCCGCGCAGGTGCCAGCTGTGGCGCAAAGGTTGTATGGACCAGGGGCACCAGATTGGCAATGGGTATTTGCAAGGCACGACTCAACGCCGGCAGCCAGCCGCGTATCAGATCTGTCATAGCACCTTGTCACCGTGTCGTCGCCATTCGTCCATACAGGCGGCTGCGCAGCATTCACGGGCAATAAGAAAGCTGTTTGTTCAAAAAAAAAAAAAAAGCGAAAAAAAAAAAAGCGAAAAAAAAAAAAAAGCGTTTCGTTTTTCTGTTGTTAACATGCAAATTACATCTTGATGTCACCATCATCCATGACATGTTACATTGATATGACGGGTATGGATGTGGACTGCTCGTCTGCGGTGTTGCCCAGCTGTGTGTCAAGGGTTAGAAGAGAGCAGGAATACGACTTTTGGCCAGGTTCACTTATATGTCAATTAACTCAAAAAGTGCAAGGGCAGACGAAGCAGCAAACAAAACCCCGACGACACTCAGTGTCCCGAGGCTTGGTGTGATAGGGTCGGAACCAGCGGGATGGGAACGGGCAGAGGCACGGGATCTGTGGGGTTGGCACGCCCCTTTGATGTCAAGGAATGGGGCTTTGGCACTGCCATACAACCCACCGTGTTGGCCGCTGTCCCGCGCAAAGTAGGTGCAGAGCTCAGCGGCACGCTGCTCGAGGTCGTGGCTTTTGGCATTGGTCCATCGGCGAAACCTTGTCCACCTCCGTCGACGCCTCCCTCAGACACCTTGCCACCCGCAGTTGTTGGTGCCGCCGCCATACCCCAGCGGCTCAAAAATGGTCGATTGTAGGCCAGCGAAGAGCCGCGACCTGGCGTGGCGCGACCCGGTAGTTCTGTCGTATCTGGCTGACTACTCATTGATTGCTGTGACCCGTTGACAACAACTACGCGGGTTGCTCCTTCATTGGATGTCGGCATCACGGGCAAGACTGTGAGGCCGCTTTCACTCGTAGGCGCCAGCTTTGGGCGCGTGCTTGGAGCTTGGACCCGTGTTGAACCGTTTCGCGAGACCCCACTCAGATCCGGAGTCGTGGCGCTGGCGGCGGTCAGTGAGCTGTTGGGCGTGGTCCAGTTCGACGTTGAGGGGTATAAAGGTTGGATGTGATCGCGAGCCGTGGGCATACGAAGACCCGACTTGCCGCCAATGACTGAGCCAAGCGCCACACTTCCACCCAAACCACTGGTGGTTGCATGCAGTGATGAGTGGAGCGCTGTGCTTTGGGTCCCCAAGGATGCCCGTGAACTCCAAGTTGGGGCGGCCGAGTCTTGTGCTGAGGTGGTGGGGTGGTAGGTGTGCGCCGATCCATATCGACTGGGAAAAGAGGAAGTGGGCAAAGCGCCTTGCAGACTGGCCGTGAACAGGCGGGACGGGGCCTGTGAGGAAGTCAGCAGGTGGGCTGGCATGGCATTGGCTGAGTGCGCGATCTGAAAACGCGACCCCAAGAGGGCATCCTGCGCAGCGGGGATTTGCAACGTTTTTGCTGGCACACCCTCGCCATCTGACGGCATGGCGCCGCCCCAGCTGGCACCCGCACGGACCCCAGGAGGCACTCCTCGTCCGGGGTTTGTGCGTGAACCAGGCACGGGCTTGGGAGTCAAGCCGGCCGTAATGACGCTGCTCAAGCGGGTCGGTCCCATTCGTGGGCGATGCAGCTGACCCGCTACTCCGCAATAAAAGTTGACGACGCCACCATTTCGCGTTGGGGTTGAGCCTATGATGTGGCAGCCCGGAGGCGGACGTACACTGGTGGCCCGGGCAAGTTGCTCACTCAAAGACACCACCTTGATGTGAGGCTCGGTCATGCTGGAAGTTGCTGGCTTGGCAGGCTCAACCTTGTCAAGTGTAGTGTGATGGTGGGAGGTAGCTGCGAGGGGTGGTCTTTGGGCGTCAGCCACGGTGAGACTTGTAGGAGACATAAGTTCTGCAGTGGGTTGCCGAGGGTCGGTATTGTGTGAACCAGTCGAGCTTTCATGCGGTCCTGGGGCCTTGGGCGTCGCCGAGGTGGCCGGCGTCTCTAAGCGCACACCAAGGCTCTCCCAGGCTTGGGAACGTTGCTGCCTCGTGCCGGTGCTGGCGGTGTCAGGCGTAGATTCGACCTGCGCGGTGGCGGTGCGCGGTGGCGATGACGGCAGCGAAGATCCTTTGAGGCTTGATGCGTCATCGCTTGGGGTCATGATGGGAGCCTTTTTGGTTGTCGCGGGCTGAGATAGAGCCGTCAAGGCCTCGATTGCAGCACGTTCCTTCATCAAATAATCTGTGCCGCTATCGCCACCGGGCGGGGATGAGCTTTGTGATTGCAGCCTGCTCCTCTTACTCGCTGGCGCCGGTGCCAGTGCTTGGGCACCGGGGCGCGCAGCTGCGGGGGTTTTGGCTTTGCGGGCGTTACGGCCTCGGGGCCGCTTGTCGAGATCTTCAACCCGGGATCCGCGCTTTGTTGCGCGCGCCACAGAACTAGCCGATGGCCTTTCAGCATCGTCACGCGATCGTTGCGAGCTGGACCGGCCCGGCCGTGTGGTGCAGCGGGATGATCGGTGGTGGGTGGGTGAAGCACTACGATCGTAGCTGCTACCTTCAGTATCGGTATCCGAGTCCAGCTCACCGTCTTCCCCACTGTCACTGGTGCTGTCGTTGGTGGCTTCGTTGGCAGAATCGCTGTTTGCGCGCCTGCCTCGGCGACGAGCCAGACCATCTTCGTCATCGTCGTCGCTTCGAGGCGAGGCTGTGTGCTTGGGTGCTCGGGTGTGACCTCCCTTTGCAGTGCGCGAGGAGGCCGGGCCGCGTTGGCTAGCCCGCTTGCGCTTGACAAAAAGACTTTGGTGCGCTCGGCGGCGGGTGACCTTGGCCTCATGGAAGAGCTGAGGACAGTCGGGCATGAGAACGCGCTTGAGCTCGTTGATGGCGGTGTGGATGAGTGCGTCTCGTTTCCAGGGCACGACGGTGTGCTGAGCTGGACGGCCCCGGCCGGTGCGAGGTGCCTGCATGGCTTCTTGGTGAGCAAATCGGGCAATCCAGGCCGGCATGTCCCCCAAATCTTCCGTCACCATGGACTGAAAGGTCTTGGCCATTTCCGGATCACGGACTCGACGCATGAGAGCGTCAAGCTCGCACATGTAAGAGGCGACCAGAATGCTGGACGTGTCTTCGGCCGCCAAGGCAGGTTCAAGCGCACCTGCTCGCGAGATGGCAGCACTCAACTCCATGCCAGCCATTTTCCCAGACGAGCGAGCGATGGGATGCGTGCTGGTTGAAGCGCGAGTCGCTGGGTAATGTGAGCGGCTGGTTCTGAAGTCGACTTGAGCTGAGATGGCTTGAGAGGCCACTCAGCTTCCCTGCTGTTGCTGCTCGCACACGGGAGGGGCCATATCCAGGCCGCCGTACTCGACCAGATGGGTGGCCACGGGCTGATGTCGATCTGCAAGCACGACACCCAAAACCAGAACTGAGCTGTCGACAACAAAGTCTGCGTTGACAAAGGCAGCCCGACTGAGCTCACCCTCCCTTCAAACTATAATCTTCCAACCCATGCTCACACCATACTCCGAGTAGAACACATGACCAACCAGCTCCTTCACTGACGTACCGGGAAGAATCAGGCGATGGAGGTGCAAGTAGTGACTGCCATTTACGTCAAAGGAGACTTGTATTTTTTTTTTCGCGCCAAGGTTTTGTCGACAAAAATGCACACAGTCAACATGAGCTCCCTTTGTCGCTTTTGGCCATTGCTTTGCTTTGCTTTTTTTGAATTGAATTGTCGACGCTTTTCTGGATCTCGCGCTCAAACTGCCCAATTGGTTTTCCTCAATTTTTGCTGTTTGTTCTTTTGTAAAAGCCTCACAACCCGCCCAGCCCGCCTTCGATCATAATAAAGCGTGAATAAAATTACGCTTTACAATAATTGTCAGAACGTCAGCATTTTAACTCACCTTACACACGTACGCCTGGTGAAAAGTCGACAAAAAACAAAAAAAAAAAAAACTCTCTCTCTTGCTCTTTCTCGCTCTCACTGAACCAGAGCATCAAGATGGCAGCCGCGTCGGGCAAGTAAGTCGGATGAGCTGGTGGGCGTCAACAGGTTGATGCCAGTTTGGCATGATTTTAATGTTTGTCAAGGGGGCTTCCAGGTGAATTGTTGCTCACTCGTGCTCGGTGCAGGGAGGGCGTCAAATGGGACGAACAGAACATCAAGGAGACCTACCATCCGGCCGACAAGGATTACGGTCACATGAAGATTGACGAGCCAGATACTCCCTACGCGCCCCCACTTGAGGCCCATGAAGTACCTGATTTTGACCTCGATGGGGGAGAAGGTCATGCTTTACCCAGTATCGATAAGGACTCGGTGGCTGCCAATCCGAACGTGGTAGAGGAAGGCGAATGGGCCCATGGGGGTCGCGAGGACATGAGCCTCAAGGAGCGCATAGGTATGCCGCGTAGCACTCTAGTCAGCGCTCACCAGACCCGCCACGCTGCTTGTTTTAATTGCTGTGAACCCGCTGCGGCTGCTGGGTGTAATAGAGGAGCATGACAAGTTTGCAGAAAAGCGCAAGGATCACTACGACATGAAGGCTGCCATGATGCGCGCACGCGCGCTCATGGCCGAGGAAGACGAAGAAGATGCAGATGAATAGTGTCCCGACAGTAGCGGTAGTTTTGGCCCTTGGTCGCCGAGCGTCCGGGACAATACAATGACTGAAGCCGAGACCGCTTTGCCAGGCGGCAGCAGCCACCCGGTCACTGTGCATTCGTTGCTGCGTACGCTGCCGCCTGTGTCATCTGGTCTGGGCTTGTCTCACTGTGTTGCATCTTGCCAATGACCCCAACTGCATCGGTTCCCCCTGCTTCTTGTTGATTCGTTTTTTGTGCCTCTGACGGAAATAAAGCAAATAGACTGATAATCGCTTAGAAAAGAACCTCGCCCCATTACGTGCTCCCGCTCTCTCAATGCTCGCACGCGGCCAGCTGTCACTGATACCCAAATCGTTGAAAGGGAAAGACCAGAGGGTGCAGAGCTCAAGTCTCAAATCTTCATGGCCGTGTCCATGTGTGAGTGGATGGCATTGATAATCTGAGATAGGGCGCCGAAAGGTGAGTTTGACCGTGCGACGCTCACAGCGAGCATGGACGCTATGCAGATCATTCGCATCGGGCCAAAACTGACCTGCGTGTTGCCGACGGGCGAGAGACAAAATGGAGGCGACCCCCTAGAAATCACAAATGTATCGAGTGAGTTTAATGCACGGCGGGTTGGCTGTAAGATTCGGGGGGACGTACGCATCCTGCACCAAGGCTTGTGCAATGGCCTCGACGCCTTCACCAGCCAGCTCAAGGGTCACGACCTCGCCTACAAATTTGATGTATGCGAGCGGGTTGCCGGGGTGAATGGGATCACGGGCAGTCATTTACGAGGTTCGAGAACGCGCACAGAGACACACAGAGACACAGACACCCACAGGCACAGGGCGCCAGAAAAAAAAAAGCCAGCGCTGTTTGCATGCGCCGTGTATACCTTGGGACAACATGGCTTTGTGTTGGGCATCAACGCCAGGCATGAGACGGTCCAGATCGTCCGGTGACATGGTATGGGCGCGTGTTTGCTGCAAGTGAATGCTTGGATAGGCTGCAAGGCCCCGAACAATCTTTTTGGCACCCTTGCTGGCAGGCGGGAAGAGGACCAGCAGAGTGCTCAGCTCTGTTGCGCTCTTGCCTGGGCCCTGGGTTATGGGCACCGTGGTTAGTCCAGCGTCACGATCGATCTGCACAGAGCTGGCTGCAGCAGCGCACTTGTCCCACATTTCACCTAGCCATTGGGGCTCCTGGCATATAGGGCATCAGTGGTGTTTGACACAAAGGCTACGTGGCGGTTTAAGGAGCAACAAAACTGACCACAAGTTCAATCGCGTAGTTGGGATCATCGCGGTTGGGTGTAAAGTCATGAATCTTGGCCCAATAATTGCAATAAGGATTAAGCTGAGCCGTTGTCATCTGGCCCGAGAGAGCAAAATAGCTGCCTCGAAAGCATGTGAAGCGCACGTCACTGCTGCTTTCAATGATGGGCAGTGTTTGACAGAAGAGCGATGCCTGCAGCTGCTTGCAATCACGCGTCCTATACACACACCGACCACGCAGAAGGATGTCACCCCCTTCAGGTTCCCTCAAGGCACATGCGGGCTCTGGAAGATGGCAGGCAAGGGCCCACGGGAACACGGAAGGAAAGAAGGAAGGAAGGGTGCGACCAACCGGAATTGTTGAACTACGCCGGCGATTCGGCACGAAGTACAGTTGCGCACGAAAACACTGCATCCTCCATCATGCACGGCCAGCAAAAGTAAAACGGCTCTGAGTTGGTGACACATATGTGAGTCGTTTGCAGTGCGGCTGATAGGAGCAGCCTGACCTGCCCTGGATGGGTGCAACGAAGAAGGTACAGTTGGTGCAGTCATCGATGGTCACCGTGGAGCTGACGTCCATCAAAAAGATGAAGCAGTCCTGGTCGTGTGTGGGTTGGCAAGCGCGTGCATTTGCATTGAGGCGGCAGCGAGGCGACGAGGCGCGGCGGCGAGGTGGTGGGGCGAGCGCTTGCGCGCTGCACAGGGAGGTCGACGGGGAGCAGCACATACATGACAATTATCAATGGTAAACTGCTGGCCGAGCCCAATGTCCCCAGAGCCTTTGAACAAAGTCTCCCTGCACATCAGAGCGTGGGAGCATCCAAGTGAGTACAGCAGGTACTCTGCTCAAGACACCATGCGCTGGATCGTCGATCACATATGTGCGGGGGTGCATAGCCTCAGCCATGCCCGTCGGCAACGCAAGGGATTCGGGTCGTTCAGGCGCTGGTGCGTGGGCGTACCCTGTGCGATTAACAAATTTGAGGTCCTCGGGGTTGCACGCTTCACGCTTGTCCCTGACAACAGCCATCATCCAGCGAGGTTAGAAGTCACGCTGGCACAAAACACCCGCCATACGTCTCACAGTACTGGTTGTACCGCCTAATGCACGTACCAGCTGTACACCTTTGGTGTTTCAGCGGGCGCCCGTCGTCGCGCAAACAGATTGCCCATTGTGACCGTCAAATGACCACCAATGGGCGCAGCAAGTGAAAAAAAATCAAATTTTTTGATGTCAGTCAAAAAGTTTTTGAAAACGAACATTGATGCTGCATATGCCTGCGGCAGGATGACAACCTTTGCTCACATGTCAGCGCTGTGTCAAGTCACGGGGGGCAGTGGCAAGGTTTTCAGTCCGGGGTGATCTCTTGGGATGAATGGAATGGGTGTGATTCAGCTTGACAAAGCCATGCAATGGGAAGGAGCAAAGAGAAACTCGTCAATTTGACAGGGCGCGCTACGAGAAGTGCTGTTGCCCACACCGTTGTCATTCCCCAGGCCCTTTTTGTGTGGTTGCAGGTGGATCGCAAAGCAATGCTTAATGGAGGGTCTTGCTGAAAAGATCCTGCGTGGATGCGATGACTTCCTCCACGGCACTGCGCACTTCGGGGCGATCCCACTCGCCACGAGCGGCGCAAAAGCCATGAATCTGATCATCATAGCGCTTGGTTTCCGACAAATCAAAGCCACGAGCCTTGAGCGATTCCACAAAAGGCTCACAGTCGCAATCGCCATTGGCCGGGTAGAAGCGAATGGGGGCTTGGGCCTTGTCCACGGTCGCTGTTGGAAAAGGAGAGCAAGGCAAGGGGCATGACAAAAGACAAAGTTCAGAGCCAGGACGTGACAAGACACAAAATTGGGGGGAGCACAATTGGGCAGCCAAAGCTTGATTGCCAATTCGATGCAAGCAGTGCACGTGGTATACCTTGATCCAAGAAGGCTGCATGGGCACCCACAACTGCTCCGACTTGCTCATGTGCGGCGAGCGTGACAGCCAACTTGCCACCCCAGCAGAAGCCTGAGCAAATGGGACCGAGAAGATTGGCATGGGTCAAGCAACGAGCATTGGCAGATCAAGCATGGAAAGGGTCGTTGGTGCTTTCAGGTTCTTACCAATGACACCGGCCTTGCCAGTCAGACCGACGCTCTTGAAGTGGGACAGGATGGTCTCCGCATCCTTGGGCCCTTGAGCACCGGCACGCTCAAGAAACTGACCAAAAGCCTCCTTGAGCTCCGGGGTTGAAGGAGGAAACTTTTCCAGGGTCCAGGGCTCCTTGCGGAAGATATCGGGAACAACCGCGTAGTAGCCAGCAGCAGCCAGCTTGTCGGACAGGCAGCGCACCTGAGGATGGTCCAGGCCAAAGATATCGTAGATGACCATCACGCCTGCCTTGCTGGCAGATGGATCGCCTGTGCACCAAAGCGATCATCAGTCCCCTGAAATGAGCTTGAGTCTCACAGCAGATAACTTTCAACAAGGGACAAAACTGTGCTCGGAGAAGCGCGCCTGTCTCTTTCTATTGGTTAAGCCTTGACTCTCGCCTTGGCCTTGACAAGATGCCCCGAACAAGGCAAGAAGACGAGACACACCAGAGACATAGCAGCGAATGCCATCAATGTCCTTCTCCTGGCCCAATTCCTTGTGCTCGAAAGAAACGGGCGGGCCCGCAGCGCAGCATGCCTTGGTCGTCATTGTGAATCCAGCGTAGATGCAGAGGCGTTATACCTAGCACCCGATTAACCAGATGGAAATCAACCAGCCACAATGTGGCGCGCGATGAGCGCCAGCATGAAGAACACACCCGTCGCATCGATCGACACCATCCTCCACAGAGTTCCCCCCCTTGAACCGCATCGCATCAACCCTTCTGACCACGCCGAGTGTGTATTCCTTGAAACATGGCCCATAACCAAAAACCAAGAGACCATGGGCTCACTGCCACCCTCACCACCGTCCTCCACTGCCACTGCCACTGCCACTGTCACTGCCACTGCCATGAACGTTGGCTCCATTTACCCGTATTGATCGTCGTGCGCAGTTCAATAATGCCACTCTCTTCTTGCAGCCACTCTTGGCTTTTCGCGCTTCATCATCTTCATATTGTTCTGCATCTTCTTCACCTTTATTATTATGGCTTTAAGCTTTACGCCCGAGTTTGCTTCATCTTCTTCCTGTTACTCTTCTTCTTCTCCATCTGGTTGCTTATGTTGTTGAATGATGCGAGTCTTTGAAAATGTCAGCGGAGACTGGGAAACTGCTCAATTCCGTTTTTTTTTTTTTTTTTTTTTTTGAAAAGTCAATTTTTTTTATTTTTTATTTTTTAGGGGACTCATCGGCAGCGGTGACGCGGTGATCCGGCATCTGTAACACAGGGAACCAGTTGTGCAGTCTTGGCTGGCATTCAATTACCCATTCAATCGTGTGCACACGTCAGCACCATCATGCCAGGCGCAATGGCATGGACCAGCCAGCAGCAGAGATGACGACCAAGCGAAGGATGCACATGGCAGTCAACGGCTCCTCTTGCATGGCAAACTCGCGAGGGGAGGCAGCGTGGCGCATCGTCGTGCGTGATTTCTTGAAAGGCTTGCGGCAGAATGCGCTTGCTGCCCCATTTTGGGACCCCGTCGATGCCCGCCTACACCCCACGTACTACGCTGTGATCAAGGACCCGGTCTGCATCCGGGATCTTCTGAATGGCCTCGCGGAGCTGCCCAACCTCGAGGCCGTGCGCGAACGGTGGCGCACCATGCTGACCAACGCTCAATGCTTTACACCGGACTTGGAAGCCCCAATCAACGAGAATGCACGACTCTTGGATCGCGAAGCAGCCCGCTGCTTTATAGCGGCCGAGCTCTCGTCGCGTCCCGACCGCGCCTCCCGTCGTGCCACCCTTGGTTTGATATCGCCCCCATCTACACCAGAACCGATGGCAGCAAGTTCAAAAGCTTTGAGCGAGTCCACACGCACCACTCTGGCCTCTCAATCCCGATCGTTGGTACAGCTTCCGCTCTGCTTTGTGCCCCGCGCCAAGCCGTCATCTGCGACTCTGGTGGCACGATCCAAAGCCCCAGGCCCAGTCCTGGCCAAAGGCCCAGCCCCGGCCAAAGGCCCAGTCCCACCGAAAGTCTTTACCCCGCTCGAGTCACCTGTCCCGCTCAAAGCTCTTGCCTCGGCTCCGGCCGTACCCCTTGCTCAAGCTCAAGACCCCGTCTCAACCTCAACCCCTCCCGTCTGTGAGCTGCCGACACCATCCCTTCCAAAGAGTATTGTGTCTCTGGGCCAGCCTTCAGCCACACCCAGCTCACCCGTCAGGAGCTCGCCAGCTAGCAAGCGAGTCAAGCGTGCTCCCGCTTCCACCCAGGCGCCCAAGCAATCCCCTGCCCCGCAAACCTATTGGGATCCTGCTGACCCTCCAACGCGCTCTACCCCGGCGCAAAAGCAGCAGCGCCGCCTAGCCCGAGCAGAACAGCTTCGAGCCTGGCGGCAGCGCATGCTACAGGAGCAACGTGAAGCTCGTCGCCGTGCTCGTCAGCTTGGCGGCGACACCAGCCCACCGAGGGACCGGTGCTCAGGCAGCTCCAAGCACGTATCCTTCGCGACTCACGTTCATCTTTTATCCGATGCAGCTGAAAGTGATGGCGAAGATGCTGCAGAGTGTGACACCGAGTGCAGCGATGCCGAGCGATGTGCCGAGGGCGTGATCGAACCATCCTTGGTTTGCGCACCGCTCGTGAGGAGCGCGCCCTGATGCTGTGACCCTCTCCCCAATCCATTCTCGATGCAGTCTCGATGCAGACATTCACCACACACACACACTGAAAAGAAAGAAAGAAACAAAAAAACGTCAGACAAATTGCGTCTCTTCGGACTTGATTTTTTTTTTTTTTTTTAAAGGGGAGAGGTGAGCCAACACGACACGGGTACTGCGGCAGAGGGAGGTGGAACACGTCCACGGGGGATCAACCGGTGGCGATTTGCCTCCCTAGCTCCTCGTCATCACTGCCTCTAGCTACTCGTCATCATGACCTTGTTCCTGCGGCGGCTGGCTGCCGCATCCGCCAATCTGGACGTGACGGATGCCGAGGTATCACCGACTGGAGCGACCTTCAACTCCGCTGGGGTCTTTGGCCTCGACCATCGTCTCAATGTTGGTATCGCTGTGTGTGTGTGTAGTCACCCGCTATTCTTGAAGATCTAGGCCTCAAGGGCACCGTCGAGGAAACCGCCCTGCTCGTCGATGCCGTGATTGACTGTGGCAATCGATATGCGCGCAACAACGATGACCGAGATGTGGAAGACCACGACATGCAGATCTACATCCGGTGTCTTTGGCACCTCGAGGTCCGCCCACACCCAATTCACAATTCAACTGGCCTTTGCTCCCTCCCTCTGTGCCAAGCACTGGACAATCATCTTCAACTCACTAATCTATGGGCTTTAGCTGACCACTGAGCAAGTCCAGCGCCTTTTGGACTGCGTACCACACTGTTCCGTTGAGGGATTGACCGCGCTCTGCTTTTTATTTCACCTGCGCACCGCTGCTGCCCTCAACGTATGCGTGCCTGCGCCTCCTCTAACACATGCGTACCCGTGAGATCTCCACAGGCTGGATCTCATCGGTCCTGCCTGTCTCAGGCGTTCCAAAATGCCGTCGACAATGTCGATCAAGAGCAGTACAACGCTTCTGTCCTTGAACTCATTGCCTCCCTCGCCGTCAGCATGGCCGAAGATAAGCCGGGTGTTGCCTGGCAGGTTTGTGTTGCCCCTGTAGCTTTAAGAAAGCGCCGCAAGTGTCGCTTCCCGATTCCGCCGCTTACCCAAAGTCTTGGCTCAAACCTTGTTCAGAAAGTTTTGCGAATCTTGCAAGGGCTCGTACGCCAGCAGCTCGATGGTCAGGTGCCTGCCACATTTGACTGCAATCCTCTTTGGCCAAAGAGCCATGGTGCTGACAAGCACACAATCATTGCCACCCATCGCATCTCATGCTTGTTTATGATTTCTCGTCGCGGTGTGTTCCCTCATTTGAAGCAGACCGTGACCTCAATGCAGCAGTCATATGTGATCTCCTGCGACTTCACGGTATACGATGGCAGCGCAAACGTCAACGCCGCCCTTCCCCGACCGCGTTTCACTCACCTGTGAAGCACAAGCTCTCGCGGGATCTTGACACGCACTCTCTGGATCTGGTATGAAGACGGTGCACACGCCGCCACACCGTGTGACGAGGCGCGCCCTCACCACTCTTCTGACCCTCTTGCAGCTACGCAAACTCTATGAACAGCATTTGGTTGATTTGAGTACGGCTCCCGGGTAAGGTCTCCTCCGACCTCTTGGCGCACCACTTGTCACCACGCGTGCTCACACCTCCTTCCTACTCTACTCCACGCTTTGCTAGTTACGTTGAGCTCCTACAGCTCGCTCGATTTGCTGTAAACCCAGATGACGATTTGGTTCGAGATTTGGCTGCCAACTACGATCCAGCCATCATTCACCCAGATGAGGTGGAAGAAATGACGGTGCGGTTGGCGTTTGTCTTGAACACGAGACGGGGCGCAATCACGAAGCGTACAACTTAAAACAGCACGGCAATCATAACATGTAGGCGGATCACCTGGCCGCGGTGGAAGCGTTGCGGGACCGCTACGTCGAAGCGCACAACGTGCAGCGTGCCAATCGCCTGAGTAGCCTCATCACCAAGGTCAGGATCGGGTACTCCACATCAGACGTCCTTTTCATTCCCGCTTGTTCCTCATACCGTGCTCGTGGTCTTGCTGTTCAGGCGGGGCTGGCGCTGACCACTTATTTTGCGGTGATCCTGGCCATGGACCTCTACTGGAAGTTTATGGAAGAAGATGCGGACCACCTCACATTTCTATCTCCAAATTGGCCTTGAGCCCAAACAAGGAAAAGCTCTTCGCTGTGTGCGTCTTCTACTACCTGCAATGTGCATGTAGCTGACTCTCGATTTGATGTTTTTTTTTTTCGGTTTTTTTTTTTGTTTTTTTTCCTTACCGCCAGCCCATTCGGGCACAACCGTCATTTGTTGAGGGGTTTGGTACCCAGGTCCCTTATCTTTTTTAGACAGAATAATGAATTTGACTCGTCCACGACTTTCTTCGGCCCAAAAGCCCGTAACTATCTTGCCTGCTTGCGAGCTGGCACACACACACACAGAGGGATAAGCATTCACACACTGCACTATAATCACATCAACCGATTCTTACAGATGGCCTCAAGCACATGCAGCGACAACTGCCGCGAGACCTCGCGCCTCGGCAAAAGCACGCACAACAGCCGAGGGTTCATCTGCCGCCGAGTCAAGGTCTAGGCCAAGCTGGTGTACGCTGGCATAGGCCCGGACCAAGCGCACAGCATCTGCCCAGCGCTTGGCCAACACGGTTTTGAGCAACAAGTTGTCCACCCGGTCTTCTTGAATCAGATACTGAACCAGTTCAGTGAAGTCGGGCGTGCCCAAGACAAGTTGATATGCTTGGCGACGATCGACCAAATCAAAGATACAGGCTTGCACCTTGCCCATCAGAGGGGCGGTGCGCAGGCGAGTTTCATCCAACACGGCTCGGAGCTGAGTTTGAGACAGCTGCTCGGCATATTCCGGCGTTTCTCCGTCGTTGGTCAGCGAGATGGCAACAAGGGCATCATAGTGGCGTTCTCGTTGCTCATACATCTGCGCCAGACTCGACACATCCGTGCGAAGGACAAACGGACTTTGCGAGACGAGCTCCAAGGCTTGATCAATCAAGACGTTGCTTTGCGCACCCCCGGCTGACGCGCGCGACACGCAGCTGCGGATCACATCGCGCCATGCAGTCTCCAGACAGGGCAAACACCACAGCTCTGGGATGCCCGACGCCGCGGCCAAAAGGCGTTGCAAATCGGAGTACAGTCGAAGTTGGAGCATTTGGCGCAAGATGGCATCCCACAGCGCAGCATCATAGAGTTCATACTGCAAGCAGAGATCGGCAACCAGAACGATGGCTTGATCGTCTGTATGAACAAGATGCGTGCAAAAAGAAACAAATTTCCGTGGGTGAGTTCAAACGCCAGAACCGACACAAGCGACGGCACAACATTTGATGGTCACATACCGTGGGCATAGTTCTTCCAAATGCTCCGAATCTGTCCCACAACACCATGACATGGCAAGGCAATAAGTACTCCTTCAGCCGAGAACACAACGAAAGAGCGAGCATTGTTGGTCAATGGTGTATGACCGATCACAAACGTACCAGGCCTTCTTTGTCCGCTCGAATGAAATCACTCGACGTCTGCATGATACCCAAGGCCGTCAGTCGAGCCGTGTAGATCATGTTCAGCATATCTTCGCGTAGTTGTTCCATGCTGGAATCGCTGATCCTGTGGGTGCAAAACATGCCAATGACCCATGAGCGCCCAACCGCACGTCACCATGCTCAAGCAGTGACGGCAAACCTACTCGACAATCTCGTGGGGGTTGGCAACCATAAAGAGTGCCATATAGGCGCGCACTCGTGTGGCAGGAGAAATGTTGTTGGAGTGCTCCTCTTGAGCAAAGCTGAGAAGACAAGACACGGCTTCATGCACATCCATCAAGCGCAGCAGAGCAACGGCTTTTTGCAGAGATAGATCGTCCGAGAGTGGAACGGCACCAGCACTGCTGTTTCGCGTAGGGGCAGCAGGCTCCTCGCGCCAGACACTGGCCAATGACAGCTTTTTGGGCGCGGCCCTTGTGGCCATGACGCTCTGGCTCGTCATGTTGGTTCCATGCACGGTGGCCTCGCCTTCCATGAGCCACTGCGAAATGAGATCGTTGCGAAGCGCCTCTGCATCAACACCCAATTCAGCAGCCACCCCCTCGGCCAGATGCAAGAGGTTGACCTTTCGCTGAGCCAGCTGAGCAGCTTTACTGCCAATGCAATATTCTTGCAACAGCTCTCGCACAAAGACATCAGGCTGGCTCAACAGCTCGCAAAGACTCGAATCAAGAATGCCCGCGGTCTGTAGTTTCACCTGGGCACATGCACTCTGGTATTGCTGTGCCAAGCGCTCCGCGTGTGCTTGTACCTGAACATGGGGGCGGGCACATGGTGAGCAAGACCGGACCAAGCGTGGGTCGGCTAAAGGAAAGGGCCATCGCAACTGCATGGAGCCGACAAAACACAAGTCTTGGATCTGGTGGCACAAACCTGAGTCTCGACGCATGCAAGCTCGGCGGCGGCAGCAGTAGCCAGGCGCAAGGCTTCCAGCTTGGCTGCGCCCAGAGGAAGCTCATCTGCAATGGTGTGATATTTGATGATCACCTCCTGAGGGTCTTCAAGCTTGGGCACAAGAGCCAACACGGCGTCTACAGTTTCGCTGTCCACGCACGTGGCCAACTCGGGGAGCATCTTGTCGATGACACAAGCGTAGACCTCGGTGCGACTGAGCGACAAGAGGCGAGCAATCGACATGAGACGATTGATGGACTTGAGATCCAACTCAGCCAGAAGACAGATCCAAGGATCATCATTGGTAAGAATGTGAAATGGCAAGCGAGTTCGCGCAGCCGCTTCAATGAGTACTCGCTCGGCAGCCGGAAGCGCCTCAATATCCTTGACCTCGACCTTGGATGGCGCGGCACGACGCTTGTACAAGCGCAACACTCCCAGAAGCAGCGTGCCCGTGTTCACGACAGCGGTGTAGCGCGCTGCGGGTGCAGCCCCATCCGCAATGGCGAGCAGATCCAAGACGAACTGAATGCGTTCATAGTGATAGTTGCTGATGCGTGGCAGCACATTCTCGCGCAATGCACAAGCCAATCCCTCTGGGTCTCGTGTGCTGACCACCAATTGCTTAATCTGCTCCTTGAGGGCCGGTTGAACATCGGGAAAGCCGTCAGCATTCAAGCAGATGACGGATGGGTCTGTCGAGATGCACATGGTTTCGACAAAAGTATTGCAAGCCACAGTTTTGGTCAAGCCGTATGCCTCGGCCCACTCGATCACGATAGCTAGATCGTTGTGCGATGCCGTCAGCAGCTGCAATAGAATGCGATGAATCTCCTCTTGATCGCCGGCGTCCAGAAGGTTGCTATCAAAACCAATACCAAAGGCTCCGAGACGGCAGCCCCACTTGGCTGTCTTGGCAATGGAGCGACACTCACTCAACAGATCCTCCTCACTCCACAAAAGTGCCAAGCCAGTTCCGATCCATGCCAGTTGCTCCAAGCGCGTAAATTGGCGCTTGCTTTGACCCACAGCCGTGGAAAAGACCTGGAACGATTGATCCAGCGGCAGTGCCATCATGTACCCCAAGGCTGCGGTGCGATCCGGGCAAGCGGTCATGAGCACGTTGGAGAGAAGCTCTTGCAGCATACTTGATACTACCTGGCCCGCACGGGGCACGAGGTGTTCAAAGCGGTCCTGGATGACCTGGCGATCATCGTTGAGGTAACGGTGCTCAGCACACACAACCAGTGCGTCGATGGCTGCTCGAAGACCCAGCTGCAATTGGCGATTGCGAGCCAGCAGGTTGAAGATTGCTGGGGCTGACTGCGACACCTTGCTCAAAAGTGCCTCTTCACCATAGACAGCAGTGCGACAGGCCACGCGGCGACACTGAAATTTATAGGGGTCACGCAAGCTTGAAGGGTACACGGCTGTAATGTATTTGCAGACCAGTGGCATGACCTCAGCCCCCGACAGGACGAGACCATCCTCGATGAAGCGCTGGCCACGAAACTGGCGTGCGAGGAGCGCCAGGTGGGTAGGTAATTGCTGCACACCGCCAGCGGTGCTGATGTCGCACTGCGCCTCGATCAACGCAGCCAGCTCCACGATGCGGTAAAACGCGACGCGATCCAAGCAATGTTCAGGGGCTGAGTAGGCCAAGGATAGGCGAGCAATATCCAAAATGTCCTGAAAGCTAATGTCCAACGCACGGTCGTAGCGACGATTGGCCAGGTATCGGATAAGATTCTCCACACACTCGGCCAGAGCAGTAGCCAACTCTGACGTTGGGCGGCCGCGGCAGCTATCGTGACAGTATGTGATCAAGACACTAAAGGGTAGATCCCCGCGAACGCAAATGTCAGTCAGGTGGCCCAGCAAGGCCGGCGCCTCGAGGTCAAGAAGCCCCGCCACTCGACGGACGTCACGCAACACGTGGCGATATGAGTTGGTGCCGCGCGGCTTGCTGGCCACGCGCGCGGCAACAACCGCTGCTAGGCAGTCTTGCTTGGCGCCGTAACTCCCCAAGTGTTGAAAGTCGACGTCCACATGGTACTCATCCTTGAGCACGCACGCTGCGTGGAAGCGCTGGTGAAGACGCTTGATGCTGTCAACGTCATTGGAGCTGAGTCCAGTGAGTGACCCCTCAACGCGAGCTGCACGGATGAGATAATCCGCCAAGTAGATGCCCATGCGCAATGCCGGCAAGCAGAGCGCATCGCCCGTATCGCTTCCCGCGAGGTCGGCCCACTGGAGCAACTCCAAGCCGACCGAAGCCAGAAGGTGGCCGCTGAGCGAGGTAAAGAGCGCCTGCGCCTCAGCCGCACGGCCGTGCGTCGCGAGATGGCGAATGCGGTGAACGTACACATCGTGGTGGCCAATGTGGCTATAAGCCTCGACAACCTGCATGGCGTCCTGCAGGGCTGTGGGTTGCTCAAGATTGCAGGCAATGTGACGTACAAGACGGCGCGCTAGCGTTGTATTGCTAATGTTAAAATTGGAGATGCCGTAGGGAAGCAGCATCTTGCGCAACGCCAAAATGCGGTACTGCTCGTCGAACTCGCTCTTTTGAGCATGGGGCCAGGCCCGAGCTTCCTCAATGAGAGCATCCACGTCGGCGGGGCACGGTACGGAAACGGCACCCATCAGCACCATGGTGGCCGTAGCTTTGATTTCTGTGGTACCGAGGCACCCGATGATGGCCAGGGCGCGCGAGCACCAATTACTGCCAGTCACGGCTACGGTTTGGGCTCCGGATGCCAGTGCCTTGATGTAACGTAGCAACACCGCATCCAAGTCGAGATTGTGGCGCGCGGCATAGGGGCGAACCTGGTTGAGCAGGACCTCGGGAATCAAGTCGGCAGCGGCCACGCGCTCAAGAAGGGCAAACAGAATGGACTCGGGCGTTTCCGTTTGATAGTCTCCTAGAGCTAGGCGAAAGCCGGAGACGTCTTGCAAAAAGCGAAGGTCTTCCAGCGCCAATTTAATGTGCAAAAGTTGGCTAGCCAATAGCTGAACGCTAGGACCGGCTTGCTCAGCCTGCGCACCATCCATGGCGTTGGTGCGGCCGCACAGACCATCTACAATGGTGCTGGGGTGGGCTGTATGCCAGCTGTGCAGGCGACGCGCATGCTGGGCGTTGGTTTTGCTAAATCCGTTGGCAGCAATGATCGACTCGCCGGTCTCGATGAGCTCGATGGCGCAGGCGGGCCATTCGTTCTTCTCGGTCAGCTCCATCATGGTGGCGCGGGTATGGAGCCACTCGAGAGCAAAGGCGTGGTGCTGACGCTGCAGGCGGGGAAAGACTTCGTCACGCAGAAAGGGGATCAAAAATTTGCTCTGGAGCGCATCTGGCATGGCGTCCAAGATCAAGTCGGCGCTGGCGGCCAGGTCGTATTCACTCTCATGACGCGTCCAAATGGTATTGGCCACATCAATACGATGGGCTGCCAGGCTATTGGTGAGCTCTCGCAGAAGGTCCGTCTGACGAAAGCGGTGCCAATCGGCACTATCAAAGGCCGAGGACGAGGTCATCATGTTGTACGTGCCAAGGCGCTTGACTGCGCACAACACACGGCTGGTCAGCTCGTGCAGTTCATGTTCTGGCGCCGTTCCCTCCGCTGCCGCCGCGCGCAAGCGACCCTCTGCGTACTGAAAGATGAGCATGGTCTCATGAACCGAAGGAAGAGAAGCATTGAGGGCACTGGTGACCACAAACTCGAGATCATCCATGGCCTCGAGTGAAACCTCAAGTTCCTGGCGCAGCTCAATGGTGGGCTTGAGGTCAAGTTGATTGAGCACGTGATTGACGCGGACCTCATGCACAAGTTTCTGGTCGAGACCAAACTGCGTGGCAAGTTGCGTGGCTTCTGCAAAGCGTTGCTGGTGCAGGAGATGGTAGAGCCGATTGCTTGGCTGGGTTGGTTCCAAGGAGCGGACCAAGATGACGGCCGCCGAAGGGTCCTGCACAGCCCCCAGACTGTCCATTTTGTCCTTGTGCCGCATCTCGAGAAGAATAAGGCTACATGTAGGGCAATGATCGAGAGAGAATGTGAGTCGTTGATACGCGATGCCCTCCGAGGCCGCATATGCAACAACAAGCAGGTCAGAGGACGTACCATTCGGGATCTGCCGACTCCACCGGCAGGCTGTGCTCGGCCACGGCCAAGCTGTACTCCTCTTGAAGCGAATCACCGCGCAGGAGCTTGATGAACCGGGCCTTGCCTGGCTCGGCGTGGGTGGCACACATGAGTCGTAGGGCCCCAGCATCTTCTTCCGTGGGCTCCAATAAAACAAAAGACTCGACAGGGATGCCAAAGGCTTTGACGACAGTGAGGGAATCCAGATGCCAAAGCCTACACGTGAGATGCAGAGATGAGCAAAAAAAGAGCCACCGTTAGAAAGCAGGGGAAGCAAGGGTGCTTGGCTCTTGACCAATTTGACTTGTTTTGGGGCATCAACTCACGTCAAATTGTGTTCATCATCAATGATGAGCGCCATCACTTGGCCGCGCACGGTCACCAGCTCACACTGAAGTACAGCGCCCGTGGCCGAGAAGCTCGTGGCCTGATCTGATAGGACAAAAGCACCCTCGTCATGTTCCCAGACTTGGATGCCAAAGTCACCCTGTGTGGTGGTCGCATGGTCAAAAGTTTGAGCAACAATCAACAATTTGAACGCTAGGCCCAGGTGGGCAAAGACGTGGGCATACCCAGGTGATGCAGTATTCGTCGACACCCGTGCCCATGGTGAGGGCAGCACCACGCAAGCATTCGTTGGGTGTGGCTACTTCAAACTTGCGCATTGTAATGGTTTTCTTAAGCTAGAAGGCGTGCATTTTCATGTTCAACGGGATGAGGGCGTCTGCATGGTGCGGGGCGGACCAGGCCGAACGATGGGGCAGGGACAGGAAATCGTTTCCGCGCGCTTGCCCAACCTCGGCCAGCTGAGCCATTTGACGGCCATCAATGGCAGCTCGGGCTGCTCCGAGGGCAATGTTTCCAAAAATAAAGCCTTGCCCCGTGGTTGTCACCACAAAAAATTCATACATGTCGGTGTTGTCGCTGGCCCGCCGGAAGCGGAGGGTGGCAAAGCTATGATTTGGCTGTTGTGCCACCAATTTCTATAGGGGTTTAATCCAGTTCATCAGAGAAACGTGAGAAACTCACTTGAATATCAGCGCTGGGTTTCATGTTTGACCGAATAATTAAGCGAAAAATGGCGCAGGAGCAAACCTGAGAAAACAGGACGTTCTTGGTGGCGGTGTCGACAAGATGAACACTGCCTGCCCTGGAAATGGTGAGGGCACCCCAGGTGGAGAAAGAAGGGGATGAGGGTGGAACAATGATATAAGTTTGAGGGCTTGCCGGAACAGCGAGGAGGTGTTTGTCGGCACGAGGCACTTACCGGTCAGCAATGACCAGAAACTCTTCGTCACCGCCCCAAGCGACCAAGTCCACAGGAGCATCTTTTATTGCACAAAGTCCCAGAGGCACCGTCATGTTAGCAGGGGATAGGGGTTTGTGTACGTGAATGGCGGCGGTATATGGACATACCGAGGTCCATGGACGTGGTGAGTTCCGCGCCTGCATGTTTGAGGATGTGAACCGTATGATCCAGGGCCAGACAGAGATTGTTCTGAGAGGCCACAGCTTGCCATTGAGGCAAGGCCTCAACCTAAACACCCGGTATGCACCTCAATTGAGCTCACTCTTGCAATCGCCAATGTGAAGTCGGTCAGAACTGTCAAGGAAAAGAAGGCAAGCCAAACGCATTCAAACCTTGTTCTCGGCATCGGCAGGAGCAAGTTGGGAACGAGTCTCGATCTTGTAGAAGGAAGAGCCACCTTCATCACGGCGGCCAAACACGGCCGTCTCATCGGCGTTGGCACCCACCACATGCAAGTCCCCCCAGCCCATGTTGGCGGTTGGAGGTACTCGGATACGATGGAAGCCTCACACCCGACAAGCTGATCACCCAACTTGCGTGATCTTTCCACTCGCGCGAAGAGAGAGAAGTCGACAAAAAAAAAAAAAAAAAAAACTGCCAGACACCTTTTCGTCCGTTTAAAATTTTCCAGTCCAAAAAACCGCGGGAAAATATTCTGCTATATTTTTGTATCAATTTCTTTGTAAAAATACTAATAAAATTACAGAAAA